ATAGAAGGTCCATTATCTCTCTCTTGAGACCTACCCATTCCCACTCTTAAGCCCAGAGGGTTACTCACTCTAATGCCTGGCCGATGGAGAAAAGAAAGCCTCCTTGGCCCAGCACAGCTGTTGTTTCTTTCAATGCCACAAGATGTCACTGTTGAAAACCAGGTCTTCACAGTCTAACCTGCAGCAAAATCCTTTCCATCTTAGTGCCTGCATAACTCCACCCTTGAATGTAAATTCATAGCTCTTTAATTTCCTCCTCAGATGCTCAGTCTTTTTTTGCAAAGCATGACAATTAAGCCAGAACGACTGAGTCTAAAGGGGTTTACAACCTCAGCTATATACTATGCCATAACCAGCCCATTTGTGAGGTGCAAATCGGGGACCCCAGTTCAAACATGTCTACTTGATATGTTTTGCTTATCCACACTCTTTGAAAATTCACATAAAGTTTTTTACATAAAAGAGAATTTCCAGTGTCTCGTGAATAATATTGCAATACTGAGCTCATATCTGACAGAGACAACCTTCTGGAACTGAGCTACAGGTATAGTGGCCCCTCAGTATCTGCAGACACCAAAACCTGCTAAGGTTCAAGTCCGTTATACAAAATGGCTTAGTATTTGCATATAACCTATGCACATCCTTCCATATACTTTACCTCTAGATTACTCAATATTTAATACAATGTAAATACTTTGTAAATTATTGCTGGCCTGGGGAAATTCAAGCTTTGCTTTTGGGTACTTCCTGGAATTTTCTTTCCAAATATTTTCAATCCATGGTTGGTTGAATTCTTGGATGTGAAACCTGCCTATATATTGGGCTGACTTTACCTCCTTCCACCATGTCTGGTTACACAAGGCAAGCACTTCACCTCAGTCTTTCTCCACCCCAGATTCTTTGATGTTGGCTGTTTACTGCCATTCAATTTATGATGCCTATTCTAGGCTAGGCCTTGATGATTATCCAAAGTCAACGGTCCAGGTTTCCCCCCTTTTCCCACAAGTTTCCCTATGTGGACCTGTGGGTCCTTACCCGCCATCAAATGTCAGTCAAGGCCACTTTTGTCATCAGAGAGGTCTCAGGGCCTTTCCTCCCAGAAGACTCACTTGACCCCCCGCCCCAACCATTCAGTAACAAGCTCTGCAGACAAGGCCTGCTACATAATTGGCAGATCACAGCACAAAATAAAATTGTGGGATCTCTTATTCAAAAATCAGGGAAAAGTATCAGTAAAAGTACTACAATATAAAACTTTTTCCTTTTTTCCACAGTCCCTTTCTCTCAGCATGTCATGGTGGGTTTTATTTGCTATTTAGTGGTGTTCACTCTTAGGCACAGGGGCACTTATATGGCAAGTACAGAACTTCACAGGTACCCGGGGCTCCTCTGTGACTCTGCACATGTGGCCCACCAGCTGCCAGGATCTGTTTCCCGGCAGCCACCAGGTGCCATGCCACAGCCAGAGGCAGGGAAGTCATCTTCCCTTCTCATGGCTCTACTGCTCCAACACATGGTGGACAGGCAACTACCAAGGGACCACAACTTCCATGCCAGGAGGCATGCAGTACCTGGATAGGAGGTGAAAAAAAGACTCTCCCTCACTTACTCAGCTGCCAAATATACAATGGAATTGCCAGTCCAGGGCAGGGATAGCCACCACCTTGCCTTGCCTTATGGTGCTGCAAGGCACACATTGACCCTGAACTTCCCACGTTTGTTCACAAGCCACTCCTAGGGCCAAAAAGTGGTGGCAGAATGCTGCCTATGGCACCTCCCAACTTTCTCCCCACCAATCCAACCTGGTTGCTAGCTCAAGAAGAGGGCAGCAGTAGTCATGGGGCACAGGCAGGGAGGGTGTGAGAGACTGGGGAGCAGACAGCCAAGAACCCATCCTGGGGAAGTGGAAGGAGGAGGGACCAGGAGTGAGAGTGAGCTGAGGCTCCAAGCCCCCAAAGCATGCTCCATTGTGCCATCATAGTTCACTTACAAAATACAAACTCTAAGATAAAATTATTAAGAATTTCATAACAACAAGGCAGACCATCAAACACGAAGTGTGGGGACCTTCTGAGCACGGGATCCTGTGTGACCACACTGGTCCCACACCTGTGAAGCCAGCCCTACCAGCAGACCATGGAATCTGGAGAGAAGGATCTCTGTCAAGCCACAAAAAGTCTACTACACCTTTCCTCCAGGGTCATGGGTGTATACTCACTTTAAGTTTCATAACCTGGTGGGGTACTCAAGTGACTAATGTCTGAAGATGAAAATCCTGTTTCAAGGTGATTGGCTCCATCCACCTAGGCGTAGAGGTGGCTGGCAGCTTCTTACAAAAATAAATAAATAAATAAATTCTATATCACCAAGCACCGTAGTTAAGAAAAGCAAATGCTCTAAGAAATTCAAACTTTTTGAAGAGAGTGATTAGATGATTAGTAAGATAAAATAACAACAATAACAATAATGATAAATTCATAGACAACTTCTCCATCCATAGTGTCTCAGTAGAAGAAAGGATTTCACAAGCACATCTGTGTTCATTAAGATGTGATTGCTGTTCTTCACTTTTAACTGAATTTGGTAGAAAAGAGAACTAATAAAAATGCATATTTTCTCAAGTCACAGAAGAGTTAAATAGTGTGATACTGTGGCTTATAATAAGAAATATATATTTGGTCTTCAGGCCTGCTTCAGGCATTGAGCTCCTAAAATCCTGGGCATTTCCTACATGATAAGAGCAATTAAGGTGTCAATATTCATAACAAAGCCCTTTCAACCACACCTGAGTTAATGTTAATGAAGTGACTTTTGGGAAGCACCTAAGGATGGGGTCTCATTGCCAGGAGAACCAACTATGTGATTAGAAGGTTGGAATTTTCAGTCCCATCTCCAGATCTCTGGGGAGGGGAAAGAAACTAGAGACTGAGTATAATACCAATGGCCAGTGTTTTAATCAATCATGCTATGTAATGAAGCCTCTATAAAAACCCAAAACGACAGGGTTCAGAGAGCTTCCAAGTTGGTGTACCAGAATGCTTCCACATGCCGCTGTGCCAGGCCCCAAACTCCATGACGATAGAAGTTCCTTTGCTCAGGACCTCGCTCTATGTGTCTCTCCATCTAGCTGTTGATTCGTATCCTTTGATATCCTTTGTAATAAACCAGCAATCTAGTGAGTAAACTGGTTTCCTGAGTTCTATGATCTACTCTAGCGAATTAATCAAACTCGAGAAAGGGTCATGGGAATCTCTGATTTACAGCCAGTCGGTCAGAAGCATAGGTAACAACCTCGACTTGCGATTAGCATCTGAAGTGAAGGGCAGTCATGTGGGACTGAGCCATTAACATGTGGAATCTGATGCCATCTCTGGGTAGGCAGTGTCAGAATTGAGTTGAATTGTAGGATGTCCAGCTGGCATTGGAGAATTGCTTGGTGGTGTGAGGAAAACCCCTGGCCACACATTGTAATTGGTGACTAGAATCATTACATGGTATGTTTATTATGAGAAGTTATCGTCATATTGGCCAAAGTCTTCCAAAAGTCATCAAGTAACAAATACTAAAACAATCAGGCTACAGCTTAGTGAAGAGGTTCAGCTTTTACTTCTTAATTAAATGGGCTCGCAAGAAGCAGAGAATCAATTTTCTTCCTTTGCCTCACCTCTTTTCTTTTTCCATCTATGCACATTACATTATGAATATCTCTGAGCTTTGCCACCTTTTCCTTTTTTCTACAACATTATTTTATCATGTTTGATAGTAAGCATATTTGACTGTGTTCCTGTTTCATAATTATATCATTTGAATTTAATGCTCAGTTAATGTCAACTTTGAGATTATGATAGTTTCATTAAACATATTTTATGCTATAGTATGTGTTGGTCACTGGTTAAGGCTACAGCAATAAGGATACTAAAGAAACAAAAAAAATTTTAGTTTTATATGAGGTAAATCATTATGCAAACATTCAACTTTATTTTATGGTCTGTTTATATTTCATAATTCCCTTCCATGATGTCAATGGTTTTCATTTAAGTGTATGAATGCAACATACAATATGCAAATTGTTTTGTGTGGCTGTTTCAATAACAAGAAAACAAATAAAATGAAAGTAAAAGGGGCTTTTCCAGCTGGAAGTGGGATTTCTGTGGGTGCCGAGGCTAGACTGGAAGTGGTGCTGTATAGGGAATGGGGGCAGAGGCGCACCCGCGGGTCGGCAGGCGAGGCGTGAGGCTCGTGGCACTGGGCTGGAGGTCAAGGATGCATTCCAAGACAGTTCTAAAAATATGTCACCAGCTCCACCAGCTTATAGTTGACCTAGCCATGGAAAACCTCATTGGAACCTCATGAGACCAGACCATACGGGCACTCTTAAAAACCCTTCCTATCAAAAAGTATCAGGAATCGGGAATGATACATACCTACCACTTCAAGAAAGTTCCTGTATCAGCCAACAGTTTAGCAAATCAGCTAGTTTCTTTGATCATCAAGCAGTCATAGTCAAACCACTAACACAAAAGAGAGTGTCTCTATGTCAGTGTTTTTCACATTATGTATGTGACCCATTTAGTAGGTCATGAAATCAATTTTGTGAGTCATGATGAACATTTTTAAAAACAAAATAAAATATAAAATATCAGAGTGCTTTGCATGAATCCTTTGCCAGAAGTATATACCTTGCAAGGAATACTAAAGTCAGTTTCAATATGTGGAAAGATATTTGATGGAGGCAATATGATGAATAGAATGTACATTGATTGCCTAAGAAATGGTTTTTCAATCATATGCCCACTGACGTCTTATTTGGTTTTCATAATAACAAAGTTGATGTGCAGTCTAGTTGTATATTACCATGACTTGCAAGTGGATATAAAGTCTGAGATGTTCCACTGAGATTCAGTTGCAAACTGCATTTTTTGGAAAGATGTTATCTAGCCTATAAATATATATATATATATATGTGGCAATTATAATTTTTATTCAAAATTGCTTTTAAAATGGATCATTTCTTTTTTAAAAGAAAGAGGAATAATGAAGCGAAATATGCAGAAGCATGTTCAAGTTCTACTGCTGGATCTGGAAGTGTGAATAGTGACAATATTGAGAATAACATTGACTCTAATCTGCAAACATCAACTTCGTTTGAGCCACATTTCCAAAAGAAAAAAGTAGCTGCAGTGCGTTATAATGAAGATTATTTTAAATACGGTTTTATCAAATGTGAAAAACCCTTTGAAAATGACAGGCCTCAGTGTGTTATTTGTAATAAGATTCTTGCAAATGAAAGCTTAAAACCTTCAAAATTAAAAAGGCACTTAGAAACACAGCATGCTGAACTTATTGATAAGCCTCTTGAATATTTTCAAAGAAATAAAATAGAGGTAAAGTCATCAACACAATTTCTTAGCTGCTCTACTACTGTTAGTGAGAAAACCTTATTATCATCATATTTAGTTGCATATCATGTGGCAAAAGAGAAAATGGCTCACACAGCTGCTGAAAAAATTATTCTTCCAGCATGTTTGGATATGTGCGTACAATTTTTGATGATAAATCTGCTGAGAAATTAAAAATTATTCCTAGTGATAACACAATATCTCTTCGAATTTGTACGATTGCCGAACAGTTAGAGGCAATGCTTATTACTCGGTTACAGTCGGGAACAGATTTTGCAATCCAGCTTGATGAAAGCACGGATACTGGAAGCCACACAGCACTTTTAGCCTATGTCAGATATGCGTGGCAAGGTGATTTTATGGAGGATTTTTTGTGTTGTTTAAACTTAACCTCACACCTAAGTGGATTAGATATTTTCACAGAATTAGAAAAGTGCATTGTTGGTCAGTATAAATTAAACTGGAAAAACTGCAAAGGAATTAAAAGTGACGGAACAGCAAACATAACTGGAAAACAGCAATTTAAAAATTGCTAGAAGTTACTAGTGCTGCATGGAATCATTGTTTTATACATCGTGCAGCGTTAGCATCCAGAGAGATTCCACGGAAGCTCATGGAAGTATTGAAAAAGGCAGTGAAAGTTCTTAATTTTATTAAAGGAAGCTCACTAAATAGCCGACTTTTTGAAACATTTTGTTCAGAAATTGGAGCTAATTATACCCACTCACTGTATCATACCAAAGTTCGTTGGTTGTCTCAAGGGAAAATACTAAGCAGGGTTTATGAACTCAGGAATGAGATCCACGTTTTTCTCATTGAAAAGAAATCTCATTTGGTTTTGAGGATGATATTTGGGTAACGAAACTGGCATATTTAACTGATATTTTTGGCATCCTTAATGAACTAAGTTTAAAACTACAGGGGGAAAACAGTGACATATTCCAACAGGCCGAACATACCCAAGGATTCCAAAAGACATTATTGTGGCAAGCAAGTCTTAAAAGCAACTGTCCTAGCTACTACATGTTTCCAATGTTTTTGCAGCACATTGAAGAGAATGTTATCAATGAAAACATTTGGGAAGAAATAAAACTAGAGATATTGTTGCATCTCACTTCTCTCTGTCAAACCTTTAACCATTTATCCCAGGAAGAGAAATTTGAAACATTAAGACAAAATTGTTGGGTAAAAGATCCATTTGCTTTTCGAAACCCAGAAGCAATAATTGAGTTAAACTTGGTGCCTGAAGAAGAAAATGAATTACTGCAGCTCAGTTCTTCATATACATTGAAGAATGATTATGAAACATTAAGTTTATCAGCATTTTGGATTAAGATAAAGGAAGACTTTCCTTTTATAAGTCGAAAGAGTATCCTGCTATTATTACCATTCACAACGACTAGTTTGTGTGAACTAGGGTTTTCAGTCTTAACCCAGTTAAAAGCAAAGGAAAGGAATGGATTAAATGGTGCAGCAGATATACGAGTAGCATTATCCTCCTGTGTTCCAGACTGGAATGAACTTATGAACAGGCAAGCACACCTACCACGTTAAATAAATCTTTTTTTTTTTTAATTGGAGTATAGTTACTTTACAATGTCATATAAATAAATCTTACCTGGTTTTTATTTTTGCATTTCTTATTTTGTGATTTTTTTATGTGTTGTATTTAAATGTTAATATAGCACTGTATGTGATACCTTTGTTTTTATTTTGTTATGTTTTAATACTAATAAAATCATAATGTAATTTTTAAAAACAGAAAGTAAAAGGGAAAAATTTGCCATCTACAACTTCAAAGGAATATTATCATATCAATATGCTTAATCTAATTAGTGCATAACTATGTGATTCTCTGCCTCTTTATAATTTTTTACCTTTGGAGTAAAAATTCTTTTTAAAATCCTAGCTTCAAAGAGCTTTAATATGTCCTCCATTCTAGGAGCTTCAGTGTACTTCAGTAAGTCTGTCTTACATCCTCAATTCCAATGGCTTCAATACACTTGGGTAAATCTCTCCCACAGCCCCACTTTGAACCTTGTCTTCAACTCCAACATTTAACCTAAAAATACCTCTCTCTGACTAAAGTTTCTATCACGCCAGCGCTCTCTTTCCTACACCCCACTTTTAGACTTGGACTACATGCCACTGACTCCTCCAATGATCCATGCTAGCCTCATGTCCTTCCCTGTCTAACCGGGACACTGTGCTTTACCACTTGATGTATCATCTCTCTCCAAGTTTACCTCCCTAGACTTCTGCCCAGTTTCACAAGAACTTCAACACAATTTATTAAATTTTTTGTTGGTCTTCTCCCTCATTATTCACTTAACATTCACCTCGAGTTCCCAATCTGACCCTAAACTCAATCTCAGCAGATGGTCTTGTCTTAAACACCACTGCATAAATTGTTAAGTCTCAACAACTTTCCTCCCTTTGTCCATGCTCAGAGAAAGAAACATGCCTCCATTCCTTCACAATCAATTCTCTACCGTTTCATCATCTCATGCCTCCCCAATCTTCTACTACCTTGGAGACCTTGCCCTATTTCTATCTCTCCTCTAGGTTCAACCTCACTCTCTCTACTAAATCTTTCCTTTCATATTATAAGCAGGCCCATCTTTCACCCACTTTTTTTAAAAAAGCACAATAAAAAAACATCTTCTGGTGCCATAGTGGCTCACTCTCATCTCTACCTACTATATGAGTTTACATTTCACATCATATTTTTCCCACCTTACCCTCACTCTATCTCCCTTCAGCCAGTTAAACTCAACTCACATTTTGGGCATCAGTACATGTATCATTTCCTTGGGGAAATCATTCTTGCTGCCCAAGACGGATCAACGTCCTTTGTCAAACACGTTCAATAATCTGTGTTCCCTTCCTTCAGAGATTTATCCAAATTTGTAATTATATGTAATTACCATGATTCATTTATTAATTTTCTCCCCACTACTCTTAAAGCTTTGGGAGAGGAGGCACTATGTCTGTCTTTGATCAACAATGTCCCTTCAGTGTATTACATAGATCCTAGAACATATTTGGTGTTCAATAAATGTTTGTAAGTGAATGAATAGGTTCATTGATTATTTCTCCTAGATACATCTTTTAAAAGTTTATTGTAGCTCTTAAATCTAGATAAACAAATATGAGTCTTTTAGGAAAAATAAAACACCTACTTTTTTCTTCATAGTAGTGATGCTAAAAGGGGGAAAGTGGGAGGAAGCAAGATGGCGGAGTAGAAGGACGTGCTCTCACTCCCTCTTGCAAGAACACCAGAATCACAACCAGCTGCTGGACAATCATCGACAGGAAGACACTGGAACTCGCCAAAAAAAATACCCCACATCCAAAGACAAAGGAGAAGCCACAATGAGATGGTAGGAGCGGCACAATCACAGTAAAATCAAATCCCATAACTGCTGCGTGGGTGACTCACAAACTGGAGAACACTTATACCACAGAAGTCTACCCACTGGAGTGAAGGTTCTGAGCCCCATGTCAGGTTCCCAACCTGGGGATCCGACAAAGGGAGGATGAATTCCTAGAGGATCAGACTTTGAAAGCTAGTGGGATTTGATTGCAGGACTCTGACAGGACTGGGGGAAACAGATTCCACTCTTGGAGGGCACACACAAAGTAGCGTGCACATCAGAACCCAGGGGAAGGAGCAGTGACCCCAGGGGAGACTGAACCAGACCTACCTGCTACTGTTGGAGGGTCTCCTGTAGAGATGGGCGGTGGCTGTGGTTCACCGTGGTGACAAGGACACTGCAGCAGAAGTTCTGGGAAGTACTCCTTGGCGTGAGCCCTCCCAGAGTCTACCACTAGCCCAACCAAAGAGCCCAGCTAGGCTCCAGTGTTGGGTTGCCTCAGGCCAAACGACCAACAGGGAGGGAACCCAGCCCCACCTATCAGCAGTCAAGTGGATTAAAGTTTTACTGAGCTCTGCCCACCAGAGAAACAGTCAGCTGTACCCACCACCAGTCCCTCCCATCAGGAAACTTGCTCAATCCTCTTAGATAGCCTCATCCACCAGAGGGCAGACAGCAGAAGCAAGAAGAACTACAATCCTGCAGCCTGTGGAACAAAAACCACATTCACAAAAAGACAGACAAGATGAAAAGGCAGAGGGCTATGTACCAGATGAACGAACGAGATAAAACCCAGAAAAACAACTAAATGAAATGGAGATAGGCAACCTTCCAGAAAAAGAATTCAGAATAATGATAGTGAAGATGATCCAGGACCTCAGAAAAAGAATGGATGCAAAGATAAAGAAGATGCAAGAAATGTTTAAAAAAGACCTAGAAGAATTAAAGAACAAACAAACAGAGATGAACAATACAATAACTGAAATGAAAACTACACTACAAGGAATCAATAGCAGAATAACTGAGGCAGAACAGATAAGTGACCTGGAAGACAGAATGGTGGGATTCACTGCTGCAGAACAGAATAAAAAAAGAATGAAAAGAAATGAAGACAGCCTAAGAGACCTCTGGCACAACATTAAACGCAACAACATTCGCATTATAGAGGTCCCAGAAGGAGAAGAGAGAGAGAAAGGACCCGAGAAAATATTTGAAGAGATTATAGTCGAAAACTTCCCTAACATGGGAAAGAAATAGCTATGCAAGTCCAGAAAGTGCAGAGAGTCCCATACAGGATAAACCCAAGGAGAAACATGCCAAGAAACACAGTAATCAAACTGGCAAAAATTAAAGACAAAGAAAAATTACTGAAAGCAGCAAGGGAAAAATGACAAATAACATACAAGGGAACTCCCATAAGGTTAACAGCTGATTTCTCAGCAGAAACTCTACAAACCAGAAGGGAGTGGCATGATATACTTAAAGTGATGAAAGGGACTAACCTACAACCAAGATTTCTCTAACTGGCAAGGATCTCATTCAGATTTGATGGAGAAATCAAAAGCTTTACAGACAAGCAAAGGCTAACGGAATTCAGCACCAGAAAACCAGCTCTACAACAAATGCTAAAGGAACTTCTCTAAGTGGGAAACACAAGAGAAGTAAAGGACCTACAAAAACAAAAACAAAACAATTAAGAAAATGGTCATAGGAACATACATATCGATAATTACCTTAAATGTGAATGGATTAAATGCTCCAACCAAAAGACACAGGCGAGCTGAATGGATACAAAAACAAGACCCATCTATATGCTGTCTACAAGAGACCCACTTCAGACCTAGGGACACATACAGACTGAAAGTGAGGGGATGGAAAAAGATATTCCATGCAAATGGAAATCAAAAGAAAGCTGGAGTAGCAATACTCATATCAGATAAAACGGGCTTTAAAATAAAGAATCTTACAAGTGACAAGGAAGGACACTACATAATGATGAGGGGATCAATCCAAGAAGAAGATATAACAATTAAAATTTTTATGCACCCAACATAGGAGCACCTCAATACATAAGGCAACTGCTAACAGCTATAAAAGAGGAAATTGACAGTAATACCGTAATAGTGGGGGACTTTAACACCTCACTTACACCAATGGACAGATCATCCAAAATGAAAATAAATAAGGAAACTGAAGCTTTAAATGACACAGTAGACCAGCTAGATTGAATTGATAATTATAGGATGTTCCATCCAAAAACAGCAGATTACACTTTCTTCTCAACTGTGCTTGAAACATTCTCCAGCATAGATCACATCTTGGGTCACAAATCAAGCCACAGTAAATTTAAGAAAATTGAAATCATATCAAGCATCTTTTCTGACCACAACGCTATGAGATTAGAAATTAATCACAGGGAAAACAAAAGTAAAAAACACAAACACATGGAGGCTAAACAATACGTTACTAAATAACCAAGAGATCACTGAAGAAATCAAAGAGGAAATCAAAAAATACCTAGAGACAAGTGACAATGAAAACATGACGATCCATAACCTTTGGGACGCAGCAAAAGCAGTTCTAAGAGGGAAGTTTATAGCTATACAACCCTACCTCAAGAAACAAGAAAAAGCTCAAATAAAAAATCTAACCTTACACCTAAAGGAACTAGAGAAAGAAGAACAAACAAAACCCAAAGTTAGCGGGAGGAAAGAAATCATAAAGATGAGAGCAGAAATAAATGAAATAGAAACAAAAAAAAATAGCAAAGATCAATAAAACTAAAAGCTGGTTCTTTGAGAAGATAAACAAAATTGATAAACCATTAGCCAGACTCATCAAGAAAAAGAGGGAGAGGACTCAAATCAATAACATTAGAAATGAAAAAGAAGAAGTTACAACAGACACCACAGAAATACAAAGCATCCTAAGAGACTACTACAAGCAACTCTATGCCAATAAAATGGACAACCTGGAAGAAATGGACAAATTCTTAGAAAGGTATAACCTTGCAAGACTGAACCAGGAAGAAATAGAAAATATGTACAGACCAATCACAGGTAATGAAATTGAAACTGTGATTAAAAATCTTCCAACAAACAAAAGCCCAGGATTAGATGGCTTCACAGGTGAATTCTATCAAACATTTAGAGAAGAGTTAACACCCATCCTTCTCAA